CCCTTCTCCTCTGTGCCCATGCAGAGTTACACGTAACACGCTGTCGACTTGCATGACGCGTCTAATTCCATGTTCAATAGTTTTCGTACCTTGGGCTGGCCCTTATCGGACTCTCACACTATACATGTAGAGAATAAAGTGTGGCCATTTGCTCTCACTTCGCTTATTTCCTCCTTCGTAATTTCGTATCATCTAGCTCAGTCTGACTGGGAGCGGACCGACCCATCACTGGCTCACTAGTATGAAGTAGCTAGTCCATACTGGTGACGGCTATTATGGCTTGATGATGTCGCTCGCCTGGGAAGTTGATATCCCGACGTGCTCGCGTCTCAGTAGTACTCCCCGATACAACGCTAGGAGAGATACGACGTCGCTTAAACTAGACATGGCACGGCAGGACCGTCACGGCACGTAGGGATGTAGAGGTATTGTGTCTACTGACTTGTTTTTGTTATATCTTTTCTCTCTTCTAGAACGTTACTCATGCATCTTAGAGTGATAAGTGGAACTAATCCCCGGGTCAAGCTGGGTGGGGTGGGGGTGTTGGAGTCTTGTTGGGCGATTTTGCAGGTGCAGTACAGGTTTTGGGATTGGGAGAGGGAGGAGGAGGACGGGGAGGAGTAGGCGGGGAGGTACAGGTTGGATTGCGTGGCGAGGCAGGACATGATGTGGAAGGGGGAGTCGATGGAGATTTCGAAGTGGCGGCGTTTGCTGGGGTCTCGCTCGTCGAGTTTGGAGAGACGGAGGACGATCTGTCGTTTTGTTAGTCGGGGGTTTTTTTTTTTTTTTTCAGCTCTTTAGGACAAGAATTTATTCATCATATATTATCATGAACGGGCACCGCCCTACCTTGATCCAATGGTTTATTATCAACTGCTCATGCGTCGTATCAAAGTGCAGCGCATGGGAGGTATCCTTCTTCTTCAGCTCCGCACAGCTAGGCAGCTGCACATTGAACTCCATCTCCGTCGGCCCCGCCTCAAAGCTCCTCTCCAAATCGCCCAGCAGATTCGTACTCCGCCGATTGACATACTCGATCCCCTCCGCCGCCTCCCGGCGCGAATCGTACGCAACCCCCCCGCCAGCGGTGACCCGACAAACACTACCAGGAAACGCACTGGTACTCTGCGCATCCGCGCGCTTCTCGAACAAAAGCACCTTCTTCGTCGTATCGAGCCGGTGGTGTGCCTTGTTATTCGCCACGACCTGCGTGTTCTCCGAGATAATCACCTTGATGCGGTGCAGCACGACCTTCGCCAGCGGCGTCAGCTTGAAGGCAATGGGGACCTGCCCGCCGAGCGGGAACGATTTGCCCGAGATGATGATGTCGTAGTGCAGCTGGTCTTCCCACGTGCGCGATATCGCAATGGGCTCGACGTGCTCCAGCGAACCCTCGGGCGGGGTGCGGATGAAGGGAACCTCCCTGTGGCCGAGGAGGTTAGGGCGGAAGGCGCCCGATCGCTCAATAGTCGCTTCCAGCGTGTACTTGACCCAGCCCGCTATCGAGTTGATGCTCTCCGAGTACTGCGAGGAGATGGGGAGCTCGAAATTGTACCAGTACTCGCCCGGCTGGAAGAGCTTGTAGCCTCGCGATGCGACGCTGGGCCCGCCGTGGTGGGTGTCGCCTTTGGCAAAGCTCCGCGAGTACGTCGATTGGAGGGAGAGTCTTTTGGCTTCCTTGGGTAGCTTTGCTAGTGATGTGGCTGAGCCGGATTTTGCGAGTAGTTCGATTGTCGATGCGGCCAGCTCCTTTGTCGATACCATCGGCACCTTGAGGTTCATGTGGTCTGCGCCGTGGCTATATTCCGCGGCTGGGAGCTGCGCGTTGAATAGCATCCAGGTGTGGTTCATTATTACATGTTGCTCGTGGAGTTGGCTCTTTTTGGGCGGGAGGCCTATGAAGATAGTCATATTAGAATCAACATAGTCCTATTAGAATTTGGTTATAACTAACTACGTAGAATCGCAATATATGGAGATTACTGGGGGACGACTACTCACCGTCCGGCCAATTCGTCTGGCCCATCCCCTTGAAATTCAAAGAAATCTTCTTAATCCTAGCAGATTTAGATAGCTTCAGACGCAGGATCCCCCGGAGAATCGAAGTCTTCCTCGTGTCGGCATCGTTCCGATCGAACCCTTCGAGGAACAGCACAGGTTCAGCCAAGCATATCGAAACGGTAATGCCATTTGACGACGCGATTACTTTCTCGTTCCGTAACAGCGACAGCGACAGGGCTGATACTGGCGCATTTTGCGAATGCCCGTCCGGCGGCACCGTGTTGCTGCGCAGGGACTCAGCGACGGAGGTGGGCCGGCTTCGCGACGAGGTTGGAGTGAACGAGCCCGAGCTCACAGACTCCACCGTGTCCACCGCAGCTGGAGACGCACGAGTTAACAACATATCTCCATATCCCGCGGGGGGGAGGGATATTGAAGAGGGTCGATTGGTTCTAGATCTGCGGGATACTTTGGTGGGAGAAGGTCGCGCGAAATGGTCTCGGGCAGGTGGTGAAGTAGACCTGGGGGGAGGAGAAGAGAGACAAAGGAAACGTTTCGCGGATTCTGGAGGTCGCGCCAGGGTAGCGGTTCTTTTTTGTTTATTTTGAGGAGGGAGAAGCTTTTTTTTTTTTTTTTTTTTTGTATTCTTAAATACAAAATAAAAAAGATATAAATGTTAGTACTTGGTGGCGACAAGATGGAAGTCGGCGGTACCAACTTATTAGATACCCTTGTAGCCGAGCGAGTTATGCTTGTTCCAAGATTTGTGCTTGGAGGCGAAACTAGAATAAATGTTAGAAAGGAAGAAGAAGAAGAAGAAGCGCGTAGTGGCCATTGTGGTTCAGACTTCTGCAATCATATATTATATATATATATATAATATAACTAGGACAGAATTAGAGAAGATGTCAGGTTTTTCTTTTTTCCTTTTCTGAGAGGGTTTGAGGAGAGTTTTGCTGTACAAGAATGAAGCTAAAAAAAATGACCGGCAGATGAGACTGGCTAAGACGGACGGTTTTTTGCCGTTGCAGAAATCTTGTTCAGGGACCAACAGCAGCAGCAGCAGCAACAGCAGCAGCAAAAGTAACTGTACATACAAGAATAATTGAATGGTTGTAACATGGAGATGTATCTGGAATCGAAGAGAGAAAAAAGAGTATGGAATATCTTGGAGAGAGAAACAGAGAGGGGAAAGTTACCTATACAGAAACACTCATTGCAATGTAGTAACTATGTATGTGTGTATGTGTTATACCTTATAACAAGACTCTTATTATATAGTTATAGGATGTAACTAGTTAGTTAGTTGCAAAGAGTGTTGTCTGTCCCCCTGCGGGCCGACCGTTTCCGCTGGCCACATGAGCATAATAATAAACAAACATTAACATAAACATCAACCTCCTAGGTTAACCGCTGACATCATAACTAGTACTAGTAGTAAATAATAAGTGGATGACTGCGGTAGAAGGCCTAGAACGGAGATAGACACCGCCCAGACACCGCCCAGAATGGGGCTTCTTCCCACTAAGTTCTTAGCCCGTGTTTAACTAAGTTTTGGCGGTGGAGAACGGGCAGATCAGGCGATAGATAAACCCTCACCTCTCTCTCTCTCGACTTCCAAGTTCGAGCCTTATTATTATTATTATTATCCCTTATTTCTACGGAGTAACTTACTCGCTTAGAGTTTCTTTTTTCCCTTTTTCCTCTTTTTCCTCTTTCTGAATCCCGAACTCGGCTTGTGATAAATGTCAGCAGCTGACTGCTGGACTGGCTGCAATAATAGCCATGCCAAATCCCCAGCTAGATAGACTCTCTGCTGTTGAACTAGGAAACAAGATGGATAGATGTCTGTACATGCATATATATATATATATATATATATTATGGACAGCATAGCACAAAGCCAAGCAGAGAGAGAGAGAGAGAGAGGGAGAGCTAGCGAAAAGATCAAACATATGATGACATGTGATGATGTGGGAGAGAGAGAGGGGGAAATGATAATATCGTCATCCCGCTGTGGATATACCTATACCAACCATAACCATAACCTAGGTAACTAAGTATTAATAATGACTAGTTGAAGCTGTTACTTGGTAAGTTAGCAATCATGACAGCATCTCTCTCCCTACAGCCTACTAGGGTGATATTACAACAGGGCATTTTCCCTGGCTGTCCCAAGAGCTACTTACTTATAAGAAGTACGGTAAGTTACCTATTATTATTATTATTGAAAGCAGGCATATATACAGAGTACAGAGTACAGAGTACTCCGTATATATGGATGGGATTGCTGGACGACGACGACTCCCCAGCTTTTGCCACGGGGTGATATTCGCTGCGTAACGCCTGAACCATAATAAATAATACATTAATACCAATGCTGATCATACAATAGAGCAATAATAGTCAAAAGGCTCTCTCTACTCTTTGTATGGTAACTATGGTATGTGTATTATTGTGTTATTTTGTTGTACTCGAACTCGAATAAATAGGAACTAACAAAATGACGTCATTTGCCAGGGCCTCGGCTAGCTAGCCGGATCGGGATCAGAGGGCGAGCCCTAATCTTGCTAATCGGGGAAATTCTTTTTTTTCTTTTTCTTTTTCTTTTTCTTTTTCTTTTTACTTTTTTTTTTTGTATAGGCCAGACGCTGCAGCAGTTAGATATCTATATCCAGTTACCTCACTTACTTCGACTTCGAGGGTTCGAGAGTATTGGCTAATGTATATATACACTCCAATCATCCATCCATCTCGTCCTCTGTGTTGTGATCTTAGTCTGCGTGTTTTATCCTGTTGACTTTTTTTGCCTGCCAGACTATTTTTACGTCATTTCCCACCCACCAAGCAAGAGCCCTAACAATATACAACAATCATCTTCTTCTCCTCCTCCTCCACCCCCACCAACCAACCAACCAACCACTCTCCACACATTTCCGTCACCACCCCGCTCAGACTCCCAAACGATCCCGCGGTATAAGACTTCTTCTTCTACCCTAGTAATGGTAATGCTTGACCTTATGGACTATTCGTCTCTACACACCTTCCGCTGCATCTTGTGCATGTACCACTGCAAGACCACCAGGCCTCTGGGCTAGCACCTGCCGGACTCCCCAAGAAATACGAACTGAACCCTCTACTACTGTGCGCACCAGCGCATCCTTCTCTATCCTACCTATCAATAGGCTTCGCCACCTCTAGTTATATATATATACATATATATATATATATCATCAACCGCGAGCTTCTTCCAAGCACGATACATCCTTACTCCTACACTTTTCGCTCCCAAAAAAACACACTTTATTGAGAAGACGAAGAGGAACAGAGGTCCAACAGCCTACCTCTCTCGTATCCCCCATCCCCCACAAAACAAGGGAACCAAAACCCAACAGAATTCGATATACATTCTAGCCAACATGCGGGATCTCCGTCGTCAGGCTCTTGAGAGCAAAAAGACCGTCTCGCGCAAAGCACAGAGCCGTGAAGCCTCTCGGGCTACTTCGCGCGCAAGCTCCGCTCAAAACTCGCGCCCTTCCTCCCGTAACGCGAGCAGGCATCCTTCAGATGACGAGGATGCTGAGAGTGAAGGAACGTCCTACAGGTATGGTTTTAATTTTTTTTATAAATGGAAAGGGGGAAATTTTTTTTTTTTTTTTTTTTTTTTTTTTTTTTTTTTTTTGCGCACTGCTAACATATCTATTTCCGTCCCACAGCTCCCCATCGCTCGATGAATACTTCCCCTCTGCAAATGATGAAGAAGCAGCCGCTTCCGAAACCTGGCAACAAGATTTAGAAGAAGTGATAAAAGACTACAACGACCGCAAACGCAGCAGCAACCTGAGTCGCGAGGACGCACTGACTGCTTACGTCCGCATCCTGACATCCCACTACGTCGACGAATCCCTACCTGAATTCAACGAACTCCTCGCCTCCTTCGCCAAGAGCATCAAATCCGAGTCCAGCGAGAAAGAAACAGTCCTAGCCCTGAAAGCAGTAAGCCTCACGGCACTGACCTTCCTCGATGGAACCATCTACGACCAGTTTTCCTCTCTGCTTCGCCGCACCATCACAGACTCCCCCAACATGCCCATCAAAGCAGCCGCCATCCACTGCCTGGGCGCCTGCACCTTCTTCGGCGACGCGGGCGAGGACGAGATCCTCGACCAGATGAACTTTTTGCTCGAGATCGTTTCGTCCGATGGCCATTATGTTAATGCGCCCGACGATGCGAGTGTTGTCACCGCCGCGCTAGAGGAGTGGGGATTCCTCGCGACGGAGGTCGAGGATCTCGAACATGAGAGCGAAGACGCCATCGAGGCGTTTGCAGAGCAGCTGGAGAGCACCGAGGCGGCGGTGCAGATTGCCGCAGGCGAGAACATCGCGCTGCTCTATGAGAAGAGTTACACGCCACTGGAGGAAGGGGAGTCGATGCCGGACGTGGAGGACGAAGGGGAGAATGAGTCCTCCGCGGACGAAGACGGGTCTTCGTTCCTATCCGACGACGAGGATGGACCCGCAGGCGATCACGGCCCGCCGCTCATCAAACGCTACAACGCATACCACAACACCCCGCGCATCCTCCACCAAGTCGACGCCCTCGCCAACGTCTCCGGCCGCCACATCAACAAGAAGTCCAAACGCTCGCTCCACGCCAACTTCTCCTCCATCCACACCACCATCGCCAACCCGCGGCGCGGCCCGCAGTACAGCAAGGCCATCGACAGCGAGACGTCTCGCCAGTATGGCACGCGGAAGACGGTGAAGATCCACCAGGATGCGTTTATGAAGCTGGATCGATGGTGGAAGTGGTTACGCCTGGCGGCATTGCGGCGGTTGTTGAGGTGGGGGTTTGTGACGCATTATTTTGAGGGGAGTAGAGGGGTGTTGGATTGTTTGCCGGTTATGGTGAGGCCGGTGGTGAAGAGGAAGGCGAAGGGGATGGGGTTGGGGATTGGTGGTGGTGGTGGGAGTAGTAGCAGTGGTGGCGGCGGCGGTGGTGGTGGGAAGAAGGGCGGGAGGAGGAAAGGGTTTGAGATGGTTTGAGGAAGTTTGTTTCTTTTTCCCTTCATTTTTTTCATTTTTTTTTTTTTTTTTGGGTCCCTTTTTTCGCTTTCTGGTGTCTATTCGGGTTCCGGTTCCTGTTCTAAGTTATTGTCTATCACCTCTCCTGCCTTACTTACCTTAACCCCCCCTCACTCTGTCCTGATTGCATGGTCTTATTTCATATTCGTTACACTTTTCTGATCAAAAGAGTTTTAACCGATTCTTCCTTCGTCTTGGATTTTTTTTGGCTTCCATATATATATAACTAACTCCCTTGTTTTCCCCTCCCCCCAAAATTTCCCTGTTTACATCCTGTGAGAAACACCAGATGTCATGATGATGTGTTGATGTTATTAACTCCCCTTTTCGTTACCCATTCCTTGTCTTTGTCTTCCCCATCATCACAGACAAAACTATATATTTCTCTGTCATTTCTTCTTACATATTTTGTTTTCAATCATCATTCATTGGCGGGATACATACATACATACATACATTACATTACATTACATATATATATTTACATATCTGCACCATTTTTGTCAAAAAAACTACACTTAGAAAGGGATGGATGGATGGATGGATGGATGGATGGGTTATATATGTTTTGCATTTTATATACTAACTGTATGGTTACTCTACAAATGTCTGGCTCATGTTATCTATTCTCACTCACATGTTCATAAGAAAGAAGAAAAAGAATGCAAGTCATTTGTTTGTTTGTCTGTTTGTTTATTTCCCCTTACATATAATTAATTTTTTCTTGTGACTTACAAACAACAGAGATGTGGTTTTGGGATATCCTGTGCTTTTATAATCTAGAATCATGATAAAAAAAATCTATTGAAATACACACACACACACATATATATATATATAGATCTGTTGTTAACCATGATTTACGTCCTTTTCGCCCACCTCCTACTGATGACTGCCGCTTCGTCAACAACGCCGTCCTGCGCCTTGTCTCATGTTCCGCTGGGCTGTATTCTTCCTTCCTACTTCCTACGTCCCGGCCTTTGCAAGAATTGGGTACGAGTCAGGAGGTAAGAGAGAAACGCCAAGAGTCAGAGTCAGAGTCAGAGTCAGTCAGAGTCAGAGTCAGAGTGTGCACGTGTGTGTGTTTCATATTCAATAATCCTGGACAGAAAAGTGAATAAATAAATAAATAAATAAATAAGAGCTGAGCTGAGCTGAGTTGTGGAAGAAGAGGGGGATAAGAGAAACTGGATAGCTTCCCTCCTCCTTGCCTTGCGTTGAGGGGAATAGAATAGAAGAGGAAAGAAAGAAAGAAAAAAAAGGGGGGGGAAGGGTCGGGGGAATAGAGAGAACAGAGTAAAATGACAGAGAAAAAAGGACCAGAAAAGCGTGGCTATAACATCCATGGATCCAATCCATCCTAGAAAAGGGGAGAATAAACTGTTGAAAAATAAACTAGAAAGGAAGAAAGGAGGAAGAAGGAGATATTCACAACCGACGAGAACGCCTAGAGGGAAGAAGAAAGAAAAAAAAAAAAAAAAAAAAAAAAAAAAAACAGAAGATAAAGATAAAAGACAAAATGGCTTAAATTTAAATCACAATCACATACCCCATAATATTCCTCTCTCTCTTTCCCTCTCTTTTCCGCCCGCTCCCACCACCGCTCACCAACCCCCACTCACAAGCTTCATACCCGATGACTATGCGTCCGCCAACCGCCAGACCCCCGCTGAGCCAGGAGGCGCAGGTAGCGGGCCGGAGGGCGGCGGCGCGGGCCTCGACGGCAGTGTTGCTGATTGGATCGCCGCGCGCGTCGTTGCGGCGGACGCGGACATGGGCGATGCGTACTGCGGGACGGAGGTGTCGATGTGTGGGTGGCTGGGGTATTGGCGGGTTGAGTGGGAGTGGGGGTGGCCGTTGTTGTTGTTGTTGTTGTTGCTCTTTGCGCTGCTGTTGCTGGTGCCGTTGGAGGTTAGGTGCTGGAGAGGATTGTGGGCGGGGTTGTGGGTGTGGTTGTAGTCTGGATGGTGGTGGGTGGCGCTGCCGAGGGAGAGGTGCTCGAAGCCCATTGTGGACGAGGGTTCGATGGCGGACATGGGATCACTGTACATGCGCGCGCCGCTGCTGCTGCTGCTGTTGCTGTTAGGTTCCCGGGCGATGTTTAGGGGGATTTCGCCGGACGTCGGTGTGAAGCGGGGCCGCGGGGAGGTCTCTGCGTTTCGGGAGTGGGAGATGGAATCCCGCGAGCCGTCGCGGGTGATGGCTTTTGGGGCTGGAGGGGCGAGGTATGATTTCCTGTTGTGCTGTTCCATCATGCTGATTGCCCATTCGCGGAGGTTTACGGGGGTGCGTTTGGCGGCTTGGAGGAATGCATCTTTGTCCTGTGGAGTTTGTTGGTTCATGTTAGATTCTAGTAAATAGTAATAAAAAGAAAAAAAAATAAATAAATCAAGTAATACATGAGAAAGGGACGTATAGGCTACTTACATATAGTTCTCGCGGTGTTGGCCGCTCTTCTGGCTTCTTTAGCAAACATTTGGCGACGAAATCATCTAGGATCGGCGGGAATGCATCACTCTTGGGCAGTTTGGGTGCCGGTTCATGCACGATTTGCTGTAGCAAATCCAGAATTCCCATTGGGCCCGCGCTTGCGCGGTCACCCGCAGCTGAGTCTGTTGCATCAAAAGGGAAGCGGCCCACAGCCAGCTCCATTATGGTTAAACCGACACTCCACACATCTGAGCGCACGGTGTATGCCCCGCCCTGGATACGCTCGGGAGCCATGTACGTCGATGTGCCGACGAAAGTGTCTGCTATGGAGTTGACTGTTTCGGTGGCCACGCCAAAATCGCATAGCTTTATATTTCCTCTTGAGTTTATTAGGACGTTGGAGGGCTTGATGTCTCTGTGCATGATGCGGTGTGTTTCATATAGGTACACTAGTCCTCCGAGGACGTATTCTGCGATTTTTCCGAGGACGTCGACGCGGACGGGGCCAAAGTCTTTGGAGATACGGTCAAGGGAGCTGGAGGAGACACATCACTTAGTTTTATATACTTCTTCTCCCAGGAAACAGGGCATAAAGTAGGCATTTAACGGAAAAAGCATTCACATACCCGCAATCCATATACTCCATACAAAGTACTATATCCCTGGCTTCATTTTGAAAAGCGCCGTAGAACGTGACAATGTACGGCGAATTGCAATCATGGCCGACCTGTAACTCTCGTACAATCTGCTTCCTCACATTCTCTTTGGCGTCTACTCGGATGATCTAGATCGACAAAACCCCAATGACACAGCCGTTAGAGATCCTGTATTCACAAAATATGTGCCAAAAATTATATATAAATATGTTATGAAGATGCATCGGAAAAATAGAAGAAATTTTTTTCTCTTTTTTTTTTTTAAAGGAAAACAAAGGTAGACTACAAACCTTCCTAGCCATAATAACCTTCGTCGACGCATGCATAACCTTGCTGACGGTTCCACCATTGCCTGCACCGAGCTCCTTCAGCACCACCAGGTCCTCACTCCTCAAATCGAGCTTAAACTCCAGTCCGATCTCCAGCGTGTCTGTCCGGTTGCTGTCTGAATTTCCGATGGCGCCTGGCATCTGAGCATCACCGTCGGAGGACTTGGAGCCAGCCTTTGGCCCGGCAGAGTTGAGAGCTAGCCCTTTCACATTCTTTCGCTTCAGCGTCCGCGCCTTGAAGGAGTCACCCATGGTCTGGGGAGTGGATCCGGAGGTTCGATGTATTTATCTTTTTCTTTGATTAGTTTATTTTTATATTTATATTTAGTTTTAGCTTTTCTCTCTTGTATGACGAAACAGGTTGTTGGCCGATCCTCGACGCTGTTGTCGGGTGGGCGCAAATGATTTGGGGAGGGGGACGTCGTCGAGGTTTGGTTAGAAATGAGTGGTGGTGACGGGGACGCTGTGAGGGAGTGAGTGAGTGAATGCAGAATGAATGAATGAATGAATGAATGAATGAACAGATGGTATTGGATTAGGGTGTGAGTAGATAGATATATGTCTATGAGTAGTTGTCGTCGCTGCTGCTGCTGTTGATGTTTGTTGTTGTTGATGCGGGAGAGGGTTGGGTTGGTCACTTGTTTGGTCTCTCTCTCCCAGCCCAATCCGGGTTGTGGTTGGTTGGGTTTGGCGGGGGGAGAGAAGAGTTAAATATATATTATTAACTTATTTATCAATTGGGCACCACCACGAACGACGCAGTGGAGCAGAGCCTTGAACAACGAACAACCTGAGAACTTTTTGATATACGCTGCATAGAGCCAAAAAAAGGAAAACTAAAAGACGAAGACGAAGACGAGGGAGATCTAATGATATATGTTAAATAGCAGGATTGCTTTGCCGCAGGATGGGAACCAGGCGGCTAATTCCTGACCCAAAATGTATCCATCTTATCGAGTAAATAAGTTAACAGGCAGGCAAGGCAGTGTGTCCAAGGGACGTTCCAGAATCCCCTCTGCCAAAGACTGAAACTAGGCGCGCCTCTATCAAATTCTTGAGGAGGGCGAGGTTCTGGCTCCATTTGGGATTTCTTTTCTTTTCTTTTATTTCTTTTATGTTATTTTATTTTTTCCGAGAACCCTACGCGAAACTACTCCGTATAGCATAGACTACTAGTATACGCTGTATAGCTGGCTGGGAATAGTAAATTTTTTAAATAATAGCATAGTCTATTGTCTATTTACAAGCAAGGATCGTCGTCATTAATCCATGGTCCTTTTTTTGTCTCTGTACCTGATGAATGTATAGTTGCATGATTGCATGCTCACCAGCCAAGCATCCTATCTCGCCGCACCGGGTCGAGTTGATATTTACTGTAAAATTACTAGTGTCCCCAAGTAGATCTTGAAGTTGAGAAGAACTCGATGATGTACAGTACAATTCTCTACATCTCATCTGTATAATCTCATTTTCAGATTACTGTCATGACTTAGAGCTGCCAGGAGAAATTACCATCTAGATCAAAAAGATCATAAGATAGCTGGCTCCTGCTAGCCACGCCTGGCACTCACCTATAATATAGTTATAGTATGAAATGCTGCCCCTTGGCCGGGTGTGTAAATCTGTTGACAGCCCCCAAATTTTGTCACTATCCCCCAGGGCGTCCTCCGTGACCCGGCAGTCTAGCAGAAAATAGTACTGAATGACTTTCTAGCGTGGCCAATCCACGCCCAGAGACGCCCGAAGAGCCCACGATCTGCTTGACCCGTGGCTTGGGATGCTGTGCGAGGAATTAATTTAAATTACAACGTAAGTCATGAAATTCTCCCGGAGTGTTGCGCGGTTGGCCCTTCGTGAACATGCTTGCGGAGAAGAGATAGCAAATCATGGAGTGAGCTGGCTCTTTTCGTGCCTGTCGTTGGGCTCTTGTTTTTTTTTTTTTTTTTTTGCTTTTTTTTATCCAGCGGCGTCAAACACAGGAGCCTTTTGGGTCTTCCAATGCACGAGACTGAAGACTGAAAGGTGTAAACTCCTATTGTCCCCTAGCTAGTTAACAAGGAACATCCCCAACCGACTGGACCAATGGCCGCTTTGGGGGTCCTGATGATGAATATCCTCGCGAATTTCTGGAACATGGCGACAGATTGAGCATGTTTTCGATTTTCGATTTCGGTGTTAAATAGCACTACATGATTGTGTTCAGCGCCTTTTGACCATATCTATGGATAAATAGAGGACATTATTGCCAATAATTAGCGGATTCGGCATTCTTTTTGAGGCAAAACATTATGGCCAATAATACAAAGTGGCCCCCTCGGCTTTTGGCGGTTAAACATGCTGATACTGTAATAATAATGCTCGACGGATAGCTTCCTAGGTGTGAAT